TCCTTTTTTCCTTCATTTCTTAACATAATTCTTTTTGTTTTTTCTATCTAATCTTATGTTATCCCTCCTACTCTTCTAAAGTCTCCAAGGTAGTTGTTTTACTTTCTGTTTTCCTTGCTTGATGTCAAGTTCTATAAAGCAAAGACTGTCTCTCTTTACCTCCAGTGCCTAGCATGATGCCTATCACTTGGTTGCCACTCAATAAATAGAAGATGAGATCCTCACACCTCTCATTGATCATAATTCTGAAATATCTTCATCTCAGGATTAGTATTTTTTCATACTACTTTTTTAATATTATATTTTTTGATATTACATGTATTTGTTTTATTGAGCTTATGTGGCATTAGGAATATTTCATTTTTAAGATTTAATTAATTCCCTTCTCTGTGTATTATTATTATTTTTAAAATTAATTTATTTTTTAGTTTGAGGTGGACACAATATTTTAATTTTATTTTTTTAATGTGGTGTTGAGGATCGAACCCAGTGCCCCATGCATGCTAAGCGAGCATTCTACCACTGAGCCACAACCCCAGCCCCTGAATATTATTTTTAATGTGCACAACTCATTTGTTATTTGTCTTACAGCATCCCTGAAATTATCCTTTGTAGTATTTAATTCATTTAATATGTGCCACTTTGAACATATATATAGTATATGTTCTATATACTCCAGCACAATTAGTGTAATTTATAGAAGTCAGGTACTTGTTTAGTGGACAGTTTTTTTCAAACTGGCATCTTAATTTGAATAAAAATAGGTATATTTATATTCTTGTGACTTATAGATTATCATTTCTGATTTTTTTTCAAGTTGCTTTTTTATGTAGAAGTCTTTGAAAGATTAGTTGGTTTTATTTGAATGTGCATATTCTTGTCCATTTTGAGGAAAGAATACTAATTTTCTGAGGAATTTATGTAATTCCAATGAGGCAATATAGTCATTTTTAAAAAATCTTTCTTTTCATTCATTCAGGTCTGATCAGGGGGTCAGGTCTTTCATGTACATGGCCATGTACATTTTACTTTTTTTTTTTCCACCACAGGGGAAATTGTCCTTTTTTTCTTTTTATTCTTTATTTCCTATGATCTTTAGCTTTCTCACTAGATTTCTTAATTTTTGGACTATTTGTTCTCTTCTTGTTCAAACCAAAGCAAACAAACAAAAACAAACAAAAAGTTTAAGGTAGCACTGTTACCACAAAGTAAAGGAAGGGGGAGGAAGTGAAATGCCTTTCATAAATTTTTTTTTCTTTTAAATATCTTGTCACAAATTATAGAAATATTTGAGCAGAAATATGTTGAAAAATAATCACAATATATTTCCTTGTGCTGCAAGTTAAAAAACAAAATGTAGCTTAAAGTTATCTATTTTTTCCTGGGCAGAGTGGCACACAACTGAAATCCAGCTACTTAGGAGGCTGAGATAGGAGAATCACAAGTTCCAGGTCATCCTGGGCAAGTTAGTGAGAGCCCTTGTCTCAAAAAAAAGTGGGGTGCTGGAATATAATGTAGTAGTAAAGCACCACTGGGTTCAATCCCCAGTACCAAATAAATAAAAAGGGCTGGGGATATAGCTCAGTAATAGAGCACCCCTGGGCTTAATCCCCATTACCCACCCCCATACACACACACACGAAAAAAAAAAAAAAAAAAAAAAGCCTGCATCTTGATTTCCATTATACAAATGAAAATGTTTTCATTTTAAAATTTTTCAGCAAACTACAAAAATTTTTGATGTAAAATATAATAATCAAAACATTTGGATTTTTCTATGCAAACAATGGAAATAAGATATTAATGTCCTCATTCATTTAATGAATATTTGAGTCTTATCTTTGTTCAAAGCTCAACACAGAGTGTTTGAGGAGGTAAAAAGGTTTAGTGTTCACATGGGTAGCAGAGATATAACATATTATAATTCCTCACGTTTCTATTACAAAAGCATTGGCTGCTGTTGGAATTCAGGAAAGAGGCCATGTTTACAGCAATGTGAAGGGAAGGCTTCATGGGAAGAATGGCATTTGAACTAGGCCTTGAAAGAAAAAACTTTTTTTTGTTGTTGTTAGGTGGGGATACTTTTGAATATGAATAATTGTTATTTTCAATATTCAGGGGAAAAGGAACATCTTGAATAAAGATTTGGAAGAAATAAAAGTTGAGAAGATGATTTCTTTTTTTAGTTGTTAATAGACCTTTATTTTATTTATGTATTTATATGTGGTGCTGAGAATTGAACCCAGTGCCTTACACATGCATGGCAAGTGTGCTACTGCTGAGCCACAACCTCAACCTCCAAGAAGACTAATTCTAAGTAAATAAATATTTCCAGGAAAACAGTCTGGCTAAAACAGATTCAGTTTATGGAGCAACTTAAGTGTTAGACTAATAAGTGTAGCCTTTTTCTGTATTAGGAGAACAGTGGAGGTTGTATTAGAGTTTACTTTGACAGATAAAATAGTGTTTTCCCACTACTTTTAAAACTTTCCCAATTAAAAATCATAGAGTATAATCATGAAAAAATGACAGATTGTGAGCTTTTTATATGTCTCTATAGTTAAGCTTTTTCAATATGATCTTCTAGCAGCTTTCATGACTTCAAAAATATTTCTAGTACAAAAAATAAACTTTTTCCCTCAAAATTAACAGATTTCTATAATGGACCAAATAAGGTAACATATGGGCCTTTTGGCCTTTATTCTTGGCTGTTTAAATATTAACTGGCTAAAACAAATTTGCACTAGTTCTCAATTGGCCACTTATTTCATTTTATGTAACAATAGGTAAACATCATTATATAAGAAGCAAGCTAGTGTGAATTAAATGGCCCTTATATGCTTACTACAGTGTAGCATATGCCAGAGTTCATCAGTTCTTAAACCGTGCTACTGTGAAAGTTAATATTCATTTCTACAACTTATTTTAACATTAGATCACCAATGACATTAGATAACTGTGTGTGTGTGTGTGTGTACTGGGGATTGAACCCAGAGTCTTGCACTGGGGAAGTATGCTTTCTCCCATACCACATCTCCCACCCTGAAATTAGGTAACTTTGATGATTCTGCTTTGGACAAAAGAATTTGTGTGTGTATAAATATATATATATATATATATATATATATATATATAAAATCTTGAAAATTTGCAGGATTAGTTTTTGTTTAAGCATAGTTAAGTATTCAAATGTGTTTGGATAATTAATTTTTTATATTAATCAAGTAGCTAAACAATAAATTATCTAAAACAGTCTTTACTTTTAATTAAGCAGGTGATGGTACTTAATAAAATAAATAGCTCCATGAATTATTATCCTTCAGTCTTTATGTCATTTGTGCTATAAAAGTGGAAAATCACTAGTTTACCCAGAAAATTTATGGAAGACAGAGACTGTTTTTGTTTTTTCTTGTACATCTTCTCACAGGACTTGGTCCACAGTTCGGTGTGACATCTGTTGAGGTACTATTTAAGTCACATGGCATCTAGCATATGGTACTTTTTTTTGCAACTAAGTAGAGAATAAATCTTCACAATGTGTATCAGAGATTCCAAATAGGGAAAAAAACTATGATCAATTTCTTTTAGAATATAGAACTTATTTGTGTTAAGAATAGCCAACACTAGGAAACTACTCCATAAGATGAAAAATATGATGAAATATTTCTTATTCTGACATTAACAAAGGGTGTTTTTTTCCCTTAATTTACTCTGACCTTTTTTGTTAACCACTTTTATGAGTTTTGAGAAATATTTTCTCCAAGAAAAGGGTTCTTCTTTGGTTAAATGAATCATATTACTGTAGAAAATTTGGAAAAGTTCAAAAATTATAAAGAAGATTAATATTCACAATTTTTATCACCCTGAAATAATGGCTATAAATAATTTGGTATGTGTTCTTGGTAGATTTGCTTTGATATCTTGTGTAATATTGAATGACACAACTGACACTTTATTTTCCCCTGAATCATTTTTCATCTGAGAATTTTTGTGTCTTCATAGGACCCAGTGTTCTGTGGCGTAATATTTGCAGACTGCTGACATTTGGGTTTACTCATTTGCTTTAGATTATTGACTTTGCTGACCAAGTTTTAAGAACATTAAGTCAAGAGTATTTGAAATACAAATGATGGTAGAGATTTAATTGTCTTTCTCCTTTATTTTTTGATAAAAGCTTAAATGTTAAAATTTTTATTTAATGAGGGGGGCTGACATAAAGCTTTTAATGTATAATTAACAAAAAGTCAAACTATTTCAACTAAGTAACTTTTTCTTGGTCAATCTGAATAGGATATGATATATAACTTGTCTTTAAGTGATGTACCTTGTGGATTTTTCTATCAGCATTCTGGTTTTGTTATTTTTTTTTAATGATAAATGGGTTAAAATTTTCTTTAGCGGATCAGGGAATATACTGATACTGTCATTTCTTTGTTTCCAACTTAAACATAACAGAAAAGGTACTGGACCTCCATAAGGGACACATTTTTTAAAATGAAAATACCTATTTATGCCAAACATTTGTCAAATAAGAACTAGAGGAAGTTGAATTAATGCCACCTTCAGATATATTACCTACCATTTCGATCCCAGAATTATTTGTTTCTTCTTAGCACTTTACTTTTGAATAAAATAACTTATCTAATATAAAATATCATGAAAGGAAATATTGATATCTTATAAGGGGTGCTGTCCTCCTGGTGTGCTACTTTTCTTAAACTTATATAATAATTTAATTTCTGTTCTCTTTTTGGTAATCTTAGCTTTTCCCCTTGTAGGATACAGGCCTTTCCAAGAGAAGCCTTTGTCCTTTTTCTGTTGTGCCCTGGTGGTAGCATATGCTTAACAATGTGCCCAAGAAACATACATTGTATATGCTTTGCTCATGACAGTTGGAAGGAAACATGAAGTTATTAGTAGATATAAACATACTCTGGTGGTCTTAGTTTTACTAAAATTACCTAAAAATCCCACTCACTTTATTTATCTTTTATTTACAGAAATGCTGCCATCATTTCTTCAGAAAGTTGAGGTTGTCTCTGAAGCTTCTAGAGAAACTTGTGTAGCTTTGAGTGATTGCCTTAATCTCTTCACTAAACAAGAAGGGGTAGGTCCTCTGGAATTGATCTTTTCATATAATTGCTTTAATGTCACATGCTTGATCATCCAATAAGTCATTGCCTTTAAACTGTTCAAAAGTAGGAAGAAATTAATACTAACAAAGGAAAGGAAAGCATCATTTCTACCAAAATTCAGAACTCACTTATTCTTGATTAAGCAAGATGATTCTGAAAAAACCTATGTTTACTTCTCTTGAATTTATTGATGTAGCCACATTTAACCAAGTATATTTAACATTGCAATACCTAGGGTTGCGTGCCATTTCAATAAGATAGATGTGAAAATAACGATTTTTATATAAAAATATATAATGCTTATATTTAGTATAGAGCGTATTGTTAATAACAATGTAAATTGAGCTCATCGGATTAAGTTTTTTGGTGGTCTTTTCCTTTCCTCTCTTCTTATTCAATGATATGCCATTTTAATTTCCAGATTTCAGTAAGAGTGGTATGCTTATCCATTAGTAATTATATTTCTTCTTTTTTCACCCCTGAGCATTGAGCCCAACACCTTTCACAAGGCAGGCAAGCACTTTACCACTGAACCGTATTCCTTGTCCTTTTTTAATTTTTTGAGACAGGGTCAAAGTTGCCAAAGCTGGCCTTCACAAAATTTGTTATCCTTCTGCCTCACCCACCTATCCCAGCTTAGGAATTCTTTTTCTAAGGACTGAAAAGTCATAAAGATGTATTTTGGTTGCTTAAACTGGTATGAGGGTGCTGTTGCCTTTTTTTTGGTTTTTTTTTGTTTCATGACTTTAATGTAAGCCAAGGGGCAGTAGGCTTTCTTTTCCATTTTGTTACTTTCCACATCTATGTTTTGATCTTCAACATTTACATCAATTAAGAATAATTTCTTATTCTTATTATAATTTTTACCTTTTGGTAAAGGTTAGGTTTTAGTGAAATAAAGAAGATAAAAATGGTATTATGTTTTGTATATAAGCATCTAAATTTTTTTCCATGATTAAAATGCAAGACTTGTGAATTCATAGACATTTTTTGGGGGGTTGTCTGGGGGTCAAACCCAGGGCATCACATATGGTAGGCAAGTGCTCTACCCAAGCCCCATGTACAATTTTTGAAATGCTGTTTGTTGTGTACCACAAATTCCATATGTGAGTTTATTCCATATTTCCACATGGAAATATTAGTCTGAATTCATTTTTTTAAAGTTCTGTCTTTATTTATGTTGATTAGTATGTAACAGACAGTAGTGAATTCATTTTAAAGAAATTTATAGCAACTCTTTCAACAGAATTCTATTACTGTCACAGGAAAAGAATTGTTTTCATTAAACCTCTTAAATGGTTGATTCTTTTATTACTTTTTTTGGGGGGGGAGGGTACTGAGAATTGAATCCAGGAGTCCTTTACCATTGAGCCAACATGCCCAGCCCGTTTTATTTTTTATTTTGAGGTAGAGTCTTACTAAGTTGCTGAGGCTAGCCTTGAGCTTGTGATCCTTCTGCCTCAGCCTCCCATGTTGCTGGGATTATAGGAGTGCCACCACCCTGGCTCTCCTGCTCCCCTTTTTTTGGTTGGGGGTTCCAAGAATTGAACTTGAAGGCCCTCAACCACTGATCCACACTCCCACCCCTATTTTGTATTTTATTTAGAGACAGGGTCTCATCAATTTGCTTAGTGTCTCATCATTGCTGAGGCTGTCTTTGAACTTACGATCCTCCCTTTTCAGCCTCCTAAGCTGCTGGGATGAAGTGTACCACTGTGCCTCCCTTTTAAAACTATTTTAAAAACATTACTTTTTTTTCATTTTTTTTTTTTAGTTTGTATGTTTCAAAATTAGTTTGTTTATATGGAATAGTGATTTAGTGTTGTAAATCTGGATAGGATGGTAGCATTGTAAAACATCTTTGAAATTAACTAATTTTGATGTCATAGCATTCAGGTAGTAGTTAGCATATTGTCAAACCAATTTTTTCTCACATATCTTATGTGGTACCTGATGGATGTATTGAAAATGTTTTTTGTTCTAGAGATGTTTGGTTTTAAGATTAAGCCGTAGATTGAATATGTTGTGTTGGTGTGTGTTTCATTTCTGGACATGTCAACATATTCTAATTTTTAAAGTATTAAAAAAAAGCCCAAATCCCTCTCTTTGTAAACAGTCCAGATTTACAAGAACTGTTAGCCCAAAGTTTAGATTATTCAACCCCTTTTAGACTCTAAAGTTTGTCATGAGGATTAAATACAATAATATAAGCAAAATTCTTAGCATAGTTTCTGACTCACAGTAATCCTGAATACAAGTCAGCAGTTAGTGTTCTGTGGGATCTTATATTATGATTATATATTATATAATATCATTATAATATTATTATATACATTAAACATGTTTTAGTTGTCAGTGGACCTTTATTTTATTTATTTTTATGCAGTGCTGAGAATTGAACCCAGTGCCTCGCACATGCTAGGCAGACACTCTACCACTGAGCCACCACCCCAGCCCCTGGATCTTATATTATTAACTCTTGGAATTCCTCTTCTCTGGAAGTTTTATGTCTTTAAAAACACATTGTGTTTATGTTATTTTGGGAAGAGGCAGTATTGTCTAGAGAGAATTTATTTGACTACCTGTGGAATGATTGTCGTGTTTCTATCTCTATTATTTAAGAGACAATAGACTACTTAAAGTTTCTGAATCTTCATGTCTTTATCTTTGAAATAAAGTGACTATGTAGAGAGTTTCTAGGAGCATTGATCTGAAAGTCTGATGGACCTGTTTTAGATCTCAGTCTTTGTTTAATAAACTATGCATCAGTTTCTATAAAATGAAAATACATAAAAACCTCAGAATTGGGTATGGTGAGCAAGTGTATGTAGGTCAATAATTTGTATATAGAGTATATTATATAGTGCATGAAACACAGTATTCATTTAGTAACTGGCATCTAATTTTTCAAACGAAAAACTTTTAAGTAATTAAGCTTTTCAGTAATTTAATGAAATATAATTTCAATAGAATCCATGAATTTTCTTCTGTGAAATAAGATTATAGTGAGAAGACACCCCCCTCAAAATATTTGAAAGATAAGTGGCATCCTTGAAGTTGGTCTTTTAAATGATCAAGAATGACAGCAGAGGAATTTAATAATTGAAGTTAGAGTGGCATAATTATGCTGGGTAATACCTCATTATCTGGCATTATGAGTTATATTGCTATTATCTGGAAATTTTATTAAAAGAGCAATAATGAACATTGAATTCAGACCTGATTCTAATATTTGGTTCTGCTAACTAATTTTCCTTTCACTCAGTTTTTAAACACATCTCCTTTTGGGTAATGGCCAGCTAAAATATCCATGGATTGTTTTAAAAAGTAAATGAGGTCATATTGGTAAAATACCTGTGTTATACCTGTTGCAAAATACAGATCAGATAGGTGTAGTTGACCTCAGCTTTCATAGCAGCAAAGCTGATTTTATTCTAATAAATAAATGTTGGCATTTATGTTAAATGTTACACATTTACTACTACTTTTTTTTTTTTTTTTGCCTTCTTGAGGTGCTAGAGATTGAACCTAGTGAACCTAGAGCCCCCGTGAAAGCTTAGTAAGTGCTCTTTGAACCATACCTCCAGCTCACACATTAAATCCTTTAATCCTAAAATTCTGAAACTTCATATTTTTGGGTGCCTTAGGAGTATTGTTTTGTATGTTAATAATTACTTGGTGCTTTAATATAGAAATATCTCAAAGGATAGTATTTATAGGACTGCGTGTTTTTCAGCTAAATGACTCAGTCATGCTGATGCTTTTTTTAATATTTATTTTTTTAGTTGTAAATGGACACAATACCTTTATTTCACTTATTTATTTTTATGTGGTGCTGAGGATTTGGACCCACAGCCTAAGAGGCGAGCACTTTACCGCTGAGCTACGACCCCAAACCTGCAAGATTATTTTTAGGGTGGAATACTTGCAAATCTAATATCATCAAATGTTAATGTTGTGTGTTTAATCTTGTCTGAGAATTTCATTTAAAAGGCTAAAACTGGTTTCATGGGGAAATTTTTTTTGTGGGGAATTGAATCCAGGGGAGCTCTACTACTAAACTACACCCAGCCTTTTTTTATTTTTGAGACTGGGACTCATTAATTAGCTGAGGCTGATCTTGAACTTGCAATCCTCCTGTATCAACCTTCCAAATTGCTGAGATTATAGGTGTACACCACTGTGCCTGGCTATGGATTATTTTTGTTTCCATAGTTTTCTTCACCACAATATGGTCTCCAAAGTGCTGAAATGTCACATGGAATCATCATTGGTGCTCTCCGATTCCCACCTACTCCTTTAGCTAGAATCTATGACTACTTAGATATCTACCTTAGATATGTACTGAGCTCTGAATCAGTATATCAAGCTACCATTTGGACATTTACATATGGTTATATCAGAAGCATTTCAAAAACCAATGTATCTAAAACTGAGTTATCCCTTTAATTCAGAGAAGTACAAGCCAGGATCATAGAGAGCTGTTTTTGGTTCATTCTTCTGTATCATCAAGCTCTCTTGATTTAGTCAAAGCAGTTTGTTCGTTTTAGGGATTTGCCTATTTGAAGTTGGTATAATCTCACTTACCATACATTTTATGCTTTCATGTTATGTCTTTTGAAGAGGTGTGACCAAGGTGTGCGACTGGATAATGGTGGTACTAAGTGTTTGGTGTAATGGAAAGATTCAGAGTCTAAACTGGAACCATCTGAAAGTTTGGAATTTATACTACTCCTCTTGGACTAGGCACTGATATATATTTGAAGAGCAATCACACATCCATGTGATTTACAACTCAAGTTAGGATTTCTGTTTGTTTAGCTTCCTGCGCTTTCTAATCATTTACTCGGTTTGTGTCCTAAAGGTTGTAGCAATAGCTCCTTCAGGCCTTCACCCTCCCTTAACTCTCTCATCTCTACAGTTTCCTCATCTCCCTATGCTCAGAGCAGTTTATTTGCTAAAAATTAGACAA